GAAAGGTACCTGAACAAATAATATCTTCATTCGTCTTGAGAAACACAATGTTTTAAGACATGTCAAAACAAATGGCGCAATTGAAACCAGGCTACAAAGATCTTAAGATTTCACAATCAATGGTGGTCATAAATTGAGGAGTAGAAAATATGAAGACATACTCATTAAAATAAATTAACACATCCGAATTTTTAGATTACAAACATGGTAGAGTTTGGGAATTAGACAGTGATCATAAGGTTGAAATATTACATCGAGATTTACGTGTGATTTACATTTCAATACACATACAAAATTAGTCAACTGAGAACATATTATTCAGGTGTCCACTTTGAATGCATCTCTATTCATTTGGACAATTCCATAAAATTCATTGATGTCATACAGAGGATTTTCAGTTAAAAAAACTTCAGTAAGTACTTGAGTTTTCTAAATGAGAAATTGCGAAAGTCTAGTGGCAGGGTATTGTATAGCATAAGGTCAATATCATCCATCCTTTTCAGTCTATTTGCTTGCATGACAAGATATAATTCACTTATAGTATCATGATGGTGTATGTCTGTAAGAGAGGTATAATTATTTGTATTCAGTCGAATATGTAGTAGATTTTTATGAACAATAGCCTGAATACAGTGTACATTATTTTGAGATTTTTGAATATTGGACGGCAAGTTTCATCCCACCTGGCAGAAGTTATACTTACAGCGGATTTCTGCAGGATAAACACTTTTTCAAGATGACATTTTGATGCACTGCCCCAGGATATTATTCCATATCTTAAAACTGAGTGAGGGCTGCGTAATTGTTCACAGATCTTTCAATTATATAACCAACTGGTATCTCAATCGCCACAAAAGGAATAACCAGGAAAGGAATTTCTGGCAAAAACATAACAATCTGCACTGAGAGCAGACAAGCCCTATTAGCCTTGAACAGACAACGTGTTACCTCACGGCTAGTACTAGAGTGTCACCAAGATTCAGCCAAAGCTTCGGTAGATAATAACATTATCCTAAGGTGGGTTGACTCTTTATGCCGACTCTTCATCCAAGGAAACGGCTGGACTGAGAAGAATTTCGAAAACTGCTGCTCTCTCTTCCTATACACATATATGCTAGTTCCAACTGGCAACAAGTTCTTTTCTTTTAGTCTAGAACCAAGCAATTCAGCTTTTTCTTTTGTTAACCAAAGATCCCCAACTAAGTCGTTAAGCTCAATCTTAGTAAACAGTTTAGACTCTATATTTGCTGTAGCACATTGGAACTCTTCATCATCTTGCTCATCTATATCTGACAGTAAATCAGAAAACATTTCAGTTCGAACAGAATTCAAATCATCTGGAGGTTCTGCGGCCGGCAAATCTACATCATGTCCTACTGGTCGGATGGCGGAAATTAGGTTAGGATAGCTGATTACCTTCTTGTTTTTCGAGTTATGGCCAGTAATATCAATACTACAAAAGTAGCAATCATCAGTGTGGTTTCTAGGTTCCCTCCACACCATAGGAACAGCGTGCTTGAAGGCTTTTTTCTCCTTTTTTGACCATTTTCTAAGAACTTCAATACAAACATAACATACCTTATGCGAAGCCCAAGATTTATGCTGATCAACAAGTTATATTCCAAAATATGAGAAATGAACTTTTTCAGAAAGTCTGCAATGTTTCTTTGATGTTTTTTGATAACAAACTCATCACAAATATAACAAAAACTGTCAGCAGAGTTTTTACAATCGCGATTAGAAATTTCAATGAGCACATGTAATGGAAATCAGAAAGTAAGGTTAGGTTTACAGTAAACAAAACATCAGCTGTGAACAAACAGAACAATATAATTCCCCTTTTTTTGGACAGTAAATGTGTTTCAGCAGTGCTGCCAACTCTTCTACATCCAGCACAAATTAATTCATAATTTAATTTGTAGTATATAAAAGCTGTTAAAATCTGTAATTAATCAAAAAATTCAATATATTGATGTGCAAATGTGAAAAAATGATGAGTGGAATAAGTGTCATATTTGAATTTAGCACCCTAAAACACGGAATAATGAGGTGTAAAAAAAGTAAAAAAGTTTTTTCATCTTTTCATCGTTGGCCTGTATAAAAAGAATATAAAAAAAACGATTTATTTCCGTAATTTTCAATGGATACAATGAATAATATCAATTTTGAATCGCCTTTCGACATCATTGATATCTGTGTTACCTTGGATCTATAATGATTCTCGTGTAAAAGGTTTCCCATTTCGTATTTTCCATACACATAATCTTGCTGCTAGCAAAACTAGCAAAACATCTAATTCCGTATGAAAGTGTTACAAACATCACTTCGATAACGAATGTTTACCCATCGTTTTATTGAAAATAATCTTGTGAAAATAATGGAAACTTTTTATGTATTTATTAAGTTTCAACAAGACCCGTCCTCATATAAGAGGACCCAGTGACATCTACGGCCTGATGACTTCGACAATTGCGAAACCAGCCAAACGTCACACCCATGCTCAATTCCTAAAGCGATGGGGTGAAAGTAAAGGATGCAATCTTGTCAAGATCACCCTGGGCGACCATGTGAAGCTGGCGCCGAAGAAATATCTTTTATTCAAAATAGAATTATATTTCAGAAATGAACCGTCATCAAAAAAATATTTCGTTTTCGAAAAACGATATTTTTTTGGCTGTCAAATTGACCAGTATTTGGAAAGTTACCAAAAAGTTGTCGATGGGGAGTTAAAGATACTAGTATTTCCTCCCGAAATTTCTAAAAGTCCAACTGAAAATTGAAAACTTCTCACGTAGTTGAAATTTCATTTCGATAGTCTATCATATACATGGCTACCCAGATTCGAGTATAATCTAGGAAACGGTAAGATATAGAAAGTAGATTCATTATTGGGAGATACAAAGTATCGAATTCAACTTCTTCAGTTCCGCTTTTTTTTTGCTGTATCTTCTCCATTTGCAGAAATATTCAAAACCCATTCACATTTTTCCATATCAACTCCAATTTTATTATGAGAATGAAATCATAGAATTATTATATGGAATATCGTCCGACTTGGAGCACCTCTAAATTTGAAATTTCCATACGAACTTTTGTGTCTTTACGTCGAGTTGCTGAGCTCCTTTCGAGTGCAATTTACAACCCCTCTCCGTATTCCTCCCATCTCATTTGAGATAGACCATTGCACATTTATCTATCCCGACGGTGGGGACGGTAGCCGGTTGGGTTGACGTGGGTGATTTGCTCCATTCACTCAATCAACTGCTGTGTGAACGGGAAGTTCGAACCGCAAGTCCGGACTTTCAATTTTCACACCTTAAAAGGTAATACCTCGTTATTCCTCAGCTCGTACATGTTTCGACCTTTGAGAGTTGCCGTTTATAGGAGTGCGACAGCTGGTTAACGGAAAAACAGATTCCAATTTCAAACCGATAGCAAGCGTGTACCTCCTCAAGCGTGTATCACCCTCAACTATTATTTCAATGTATATCGCCTTCCTAGATTACTTCGCGTACCGCACTGTTACGTCCACCTCACTGTGTACGAGACTGTCCGAATACGCTTGCAGCCAGCGTTTAAATATCGCAATGGAACAGCGTAGAATTTCGCCGAAGTTCTATGAACATCGGTAGCATGTTTCTTGCTCTTTCTCGAGGGGCAGGTAACATTGGATATTCCCACGCTCTCAGCTACGTCACGTTTGGTTTCCAGTAGCGGGCATGATTTACAATACTACCCCCTTCCCTGAGGTTGTTCGCCCCGAACAACATTCCAAGAGGGAACATCACGACCTACGTAAGGACTCAGCCTTTCTATGTGGATAACTTTAGGCTTGCTTCTGGGTGACAATTGGATTCTGTACACCAGATCGTTCATCTTTTTGGTTACCAAGTAAGGTCCTTGCCATGGCCTCTGCAACTTGAGGCACAAACCTTTCCGACGTTGGACCTCCGACCTCTTGAGATTCATCGAAAGGACTTCCATACCTTTTGTCGACTACTTCAAGCTTTTTTCAAGCTCTTCTTCAAATTTTCTTCCGACTCCTTCAAGCTCCTCCTCAAATTTCCTTTTAACCGCATCAAGCTTCTCATCGACAAATTTTACCCATCCCTCCTTTGTTTCTTGAGAAGTTTTGAAATCTTCATATAAATGAATGTACATCTGATTGTCTTTTTCTTGTTTCTACTGAATATTTACCAGTGATTTACGATATTCCTCTCTGTTTCTTTCTCGTTTTTCCACAATATTCAGTGATAATTCACGATCTTCCTTTCGGCGTAATCGTTCTTCCTCCCTCCTACGTTTTTCATTCTCCGCCGGGCTCGCTTACAAAGCTTCAAACATTTTCTCAAGTTCTTCTATCTTGTCGTAATCGACACTCCCTGTTTTCACCATGAAACAGTTTTTTTATAGTCAATTATCCCACTTCTGACACCAAATATTACGTTTTCCCCCGTGGGTTCACCAATAATTGACTACACTGAATAATCGAACTTAAACTTTATTCCACTTTAAAAACAACAAACACTTCAACTAAAAATTTCAACTATCCTTTCAGTATCTATCGCCTTCCTAGATTACTTCGCGTACCGCACTGTTACGTCCTCCTCACTGTGTACGTGTCTGTCCGAATACGCTTGCAGTCAGCGTTTAAATATCGCAATGAAACAGCGTACAATTTCGCTGAAGTTCTATGAACATCGGTAGCATGTTTCTTGCTCTTTCTCGAGGAGCAGGTAACATTGGATATTCTCACGTTCTATTTACGTCACGTGATATTCTGTCATCCATATAAAACAAATGGATGACCTTGTGCTCCCGGTTTCCAAGGGTGCCACAAGGATGTAATAGTGATATACAGGGAGAGTGAGGAAATAGCCCTGAAATACATCCCTTCTTAAAGTGACCCATCCTGTTTGGACTCTATCCTGACCGGATGTTATGGTGAAGCGAGTCCGCTAGAGTGGTATCAGTTGTTTTTATCATTATTTCGATTGCAGGAATCACCGGTAAACCTTGGGCGGGACAGGCGGCAAAGATGAAAAAAACGTTCGAGAGGAACATCCTAATCCCTAGACCAGACTACGGCAGTATCTATCTCTACTGGCGGGACCTTCTCATGCCTTATCATGGAGTTGATAGAAACTTCAACGTAACTGCGTTGGCTAGCGTTACCGTGAACTACCCTTTCTCGGTTATTAGAGAAGCTTTAAGGAAAATCATGACACCAAGGAGGATCATTCAACTCAAATATAATCCCTTGACTCCACAGGAAGTGTATGAGATATTCGTAGCTGATGGTATAGAGCCCATTTCCGATAAAGAATATAAAAAGTTTTTGAAATGGTATAAGTCGACTCCGCTAGGCAAACAGAGGGCGGCATTCAATAAATGGGCAGATGGTCAGAGAGAGCTTGAGGCTAGGCAAAAGGAAAAGGAGAATAAAAAGAAGTAACACTGGTTGAAAAAATCTGGTAGAGACTGGGGACTGATTTTTTAAAATCACATTTCAGAATATTCCAAATATTTTAGTTATTCAGTATTATGAAAAAAAATGCATCTAATAGGTGAAATAAAATATTTCTCGTACCGTTTGTTCATTCCATCAACGAATCATCCTGAAAATCACCATGTGAATTTTTTTCATTGAATTAATGGACTGACCCGTTGCTCAATGGAAATTAATAGTACTACCCTAGATTGTAATCAAACAATTTTTAAAAAAAATTATTTCTAGATGCGTTTCGCTAATGCTGTAGCTTCCTCAGTAGGTTCTTTTTCCGCATCTCCGATATTCTATAACGAATAGTTCGTTCCATTCATCACAATGTCGATCATCTGCAAACTGCATAACACGGGATAATAGCCACCGTCGGCTGTATCTAAAAGGCAATGTGGCCTTACGGACGGGGTCGCCGGACTTCTGGTCAGTGGCAGAAATAAGAAGGGTGAGGGGAACTGAAACCACCCAAAAGCCTTCGCAAAACATGCCACCGTGGACCAGCTTACCCAAGCTAAGGTGTAAGGAATCGTGCCGATAGCTGAGTGGCCGCAGGGTGATATGCGGTTACGAACGATCCCCTTGAACTGGGCGAAACTTCATTGTAATCAGCCTACCTCTGATAATGCGGGGCTCTGCCAGAGGTGACCAACTCTTCCTTTGCTGCTGATGGGAACACACATGAATGAAACAACACAAAAACAGAAACAACATAAACAAAAACCAATCCCGAGGCTGTATAGAAGTGCTCACCTCAATCTGAGGCGATGGGTGGGGATGAACAGAAATTTTCTACCCCAATCTACCGCTTGGAATGAGACTGGTCATAGCAGATCACCTACAATAGCAAGGGCACTTCCTGCGGCGGGCGCCAAGAGCTCCGCCTTGAATAAAGGCAAGGAACCGGCTGCCCTTACAGGAAAACTCCCTCACTTGTGCACCTCCACTTGTGCACCTCCACGGAGGGAACCCCAAGAAGGTTGAAGAAGCCGCGCAACGCCAGTAATATCGCTGCACCTTCCAAAACCTTCGCGGAGGCCATCGAGAGACACCTCAAGGTGCCGATATGAAGGAGAAGTCTCCCAGTGACCTGTTCACCTTCCCGGAAAGGACAGGATAGACGATGACCTAGGAGGATAACTCCTCGGGAGGATGTACAATGGGTCACATGTGGCCTAAGTGCTGTGAGCTCACACTCACCCTCCCTACTCTATTGATAAAGATACTTGAGATCTGTTTCCTTTCTCTTCGGATTTGTCTTTTGCAACCTGCGCCCCACTATTTGAATTAGCCAAGTAAACTCATGATTTATTCGATTAATAGTGCAATAATCTATTGATCAATCATGTGTCAAACTTACTCACACCCCCACCACATCAATCTGAGCAGCCTATCAGCAACAAGTGTCAACATCCTATAATTTTGAATTCAATTATTCAATAGCCTTTTCAAAATTGAGGTGTGTTCCAATTTCATATTAGTTGAGCTAGCAAAACCACCTTGGATTTCCATATCTATTTCACGGACATAATTTGAAGGTTGATATTGAGGCTGATTCTACCCACATTTCTGTTTTGTTCGTTCTTTATTCGACCAAGACATTTCAGGTGCATTATGATCTGAAATCTTCCTCAAATTACCGATTAAGTTCACAACAGTGATTGAACACGATGTTCAACTTCATATCCCTGACGTAATATTGAAAAAGTCAGATTATGTTGATACAAATGTTCATGAAAATGAAACATATGGGATTAGATACATCTACTACGAAAGTTGAAAAAAGTATGGTAAATTATCTCTATAGCAGAGCAATACAGCTGAAATTTTTTTGAAAAACGAGTAATATTGAACGCATACTCAGATTCTTTCTTCGATACAAAATAAATGCATTATGAAATAAACATTTAATTCAAAACCAAACAACCTCACAAACAGCATCACTAATTGACGAATTGGAGATAGATAATATTTCAGAACTTCTCACAAAAAACGAATGCGCTGAGATCTATACTAGCCCAACAACACAGAAGAAATAAAAAAATTGCATTCACTCGTATGGGATGCTTCCGGAACGTTAAGATAAGTATCTTTGAAATTTCTCAGCTCTTTTTTTATACAAAATGATTAAATACGACAGGCTACTGACGAATGAAACATTTTTCTTTGTGAAAAATACTTTGAGTTTACGCAGTAACTTATCGTGGTGGAGTTGAGAGTTTGCTCTTTCTACAACTGCAGGACGTTCCTTATTACAATTTTTATATTTTTGACATTGTAGAAGGTGAAAGAAATCGACAGAGAGGTCGATAACAAAAAATTACTTCCGTTCAATAAATCATTTTCTTTAGGAAACGTTGAATTCGAAATCAATTCCTGAAAAACTAATGTGTTATGAATGACTTGAATTTTGATCAACAATTGAGCAATTTCTTGAAATGAAATTGAAGCATTCTGTATTTCTTCTAGGAAATGTCGTTAATACTGTCGCTGATGCACTGGTAACCCGGTAGACTCTCACTGTTTCTGTAAGACGCAGATTACCCTGTATCTTCATCAGCGTAATTCATCATCAGTAGTGGAACTACTCTATTTTAGAGTCACCAGTCCGTAATCAGTGCATGCTGCCTGAAAACGCGATTCAACTGAAATCCATTACCCAGGAATCGGATACTCCAGAATTCTGTTTTTGCACATCCAGTCCAACCCTGATTATCATCGAATCCGGCCCTTTGGTGGCCGATAAGCCTCCGCAAGAGATTTCGCAGAGCAGAACCGTCGACAATTCCATTAATTCAACACGCCCCGCGCTGAAAACTTCGGAAGGCGAGATATTATAACATGGAAAAAGCAATTAAATGAATACTTTTCTTAATTAGTTTTTGGCATTACACGCCACTCTTACTGTTAATATAAGATATTCTCGATGATGACTGTTCCTGAAACTTGGGATCCTGAATGATTTATTGAACATGCACATGCAATATTACATCTTCACACGAGACTTTAATTTTTCTCTTAGTGTTGATTGAGTACAACATTTTTTTCTGATTCAAACAGTCGATATACAGGGTATTCTTTAATGATATGCAGATATTGGAGGGTGTAAATCTACATAAAAAATAATGATAGGTTGCCATATCGTGCCAGAAACAAAATCAGGAATTATCTATTTTGTTTCTAAATGATCAATTTTGAGCTAATAAAATTGATGAATTAACCATTGTATGTCAGCAAAAACAGGAACATTCAGTCTGTATATGTGAAACTTAGTTGACAAGTGATTTAATCTTCAATATCAACATCATTAACCCTTAACTGGTAACGTGCCGTCTGTGGGACTGCCCTCAAATTTATTTTTAGGATTATTGAAAAATGGTAAACGCCTAGAACCAATGAATTCATCTAATCCTTGAGCTAGTCAAACTGTATGTATTGTGTTATTTGCACCCCCTGACGGCAACGTACGACTGAGATTTCGATGACAGTTTTGTTCAATCAGTCTCTCTGACGGCTCATCTGTAGAATTAGCAAGTACCTCATTGAAAAATAAGCTTACCTATGTAGGTACATTGAAAACAAAAATAAAAGAGTAGTTCCACCTTGTTTTTCTGCCGAAAAGACCTGAGAAGTTGGATCAACATTGTACGGATTTCGTGAAGAATCTACAATTATTCGACCTGTCGGACAAAAAAACAAGGCAACCATACTTTTATCAACAATGCTTGATAAAATATTTACCGATTCAGAAACAAAAATACCCGAAATAATAACCTATTACAATGTTAATAAAGGAGGAGTTGATTCTCTCGATGAAAAATGTGCTAAGAGTTCTGGTAATCGGTGTCCACGGAGGTGGCCATTAACTATTTTCTTTATTATTCTGGATATTTCTGTGTTGAATCCTTATATCTTACACCAGTGCTATGAACAAATCTAACAATTAAAAAAAAACTGTTTTGCAAAGCTCGTTCAGGAAAATATGGGAAGGCGTCTGCAATATCCCCATTTCTCTCGTAAGATACGTTTTATTATGTGCCACATCCTCGAAAGACCTGTTGAAAATTTACTTGCGAGACATGAAAATTTTGCTTTGGAGAAGCGAAAAGCGTGTTTTTTATGTCACAAAACTATCCATCGAATGACAAAATATTTATGTGTGGACTGTAGAAGGCAAGTATGGCTACAGTGTTCCAAGTCAAAATGTAAAAGTTGCACGGATAATCAATAAGTTTGGCATTCGCTGAAACATTTTTAGAAGTATGTTTCAAAATTTTTTTTCAGTATTCGTTTCTTCATGTCTTCTTTCTGTGATAATTAACCTAAGTTTATCACATTTGAAATTTATGTAGTGTTTTTGACATTAAGATGAAACATGTAGATTTTTCAGTATTTTATTTTGTTTATTGACGTTTCAGTTCATAATTTTTTTTCTATTAGATAATATTGTATTCCTGAAGGGGTGTGTCAGAGAGCAATATCAATGCGCACTGTTGATGAACATCCGGGGGAAAAAGTGAAAGTTGCTTTAATTGTACGTTTTCAAAAATTTTCAGTCTTACAGACGTCACGTTACCAGATGTGTTCTAAAATTTGACGTTATCACTTAAGGGTTAATTATCACTTAGTAGGTTTTTTTTGTAGTTCAAGCATAGCGGGGTTGCGATATAACCTCGAAATGATATTATAACGAAGGCTGTGGATATAAACATATATTGCACTGAAGTTGATGCAGAGTTTGCCGCAAAGTATATTAAATATACTAGTAGTATACATATATCGATCAGGTAAGAGAAATTTTCTGAATTTCATATCTTCATTTGACTCACTTGCTGAATTTACAACACGAAAACTTAAGAAGGTAGTGGATAGAAGAAATTACTGTGTAATACTTCAAGTATTTAATACAAGAACCAGCTAGAACCCCTAACCGTTCCTCCACCTGCTTTGAAAATATTTTGATGAATTTCGACCAATACCCAGATGCAGAACTTGTTAAAGATGACATATCTGACCACTATGGCCTAGAAATATCAATTGCTATAGATGGACTACCAACTGTGG